GCGGCAGCGCCGGGCGCGGGGCTGCTCGTGCTGCTGGCCGTGCTGCTGCTGCGGGCTGGCCTCGTGCACCCGCCGCCCGCCCCCATTTTCTGGGCGCCGCGCAGCGCGGCGGGACCCGCCTTCGACGCGCAGGAGCTGGTCCGGGTGTTGCGAGGTGAAGGGCGGGGCGCCCGCCCGCTGTGCTGCTCCGCTTTCCGCTCCCTGCCCTAGACTCCCTGTTCAATCGGCGGCTCTGCTTCCTGCCCTGGACTCCCTTGCCTAATCTTCTGCACTGCCTTCTGCTCCCTGCCCCGGGCTCCCCGCTCACTGCTGCTCTTCCTTCTGCTCGCTGCCCTAGACTCCCTGCCCAATCCGCAACTCTGCTTTCCACGCCCTGCCCTGGGCTCCCTGAGTCTCTGCCTTCTGCTCCTTGCCCAATCCGCCGCTCTGCCTTCCGCTCCCTGCCCACACTGCTGCTCTGCTTCCCGCTCCCTGCCCTGGGCTCCCTACCCAATCTACCACTTTGCTTCCTGCTCCCTGCCTGACCTGCTGCCTTGCTTCCTGCTCCCTGATCTGTCTTCACCAACCAAGTTGTTTTGCCTTGCGTTCCTGGTCCTGGGCTCCCCGTCTCAGGCTGCCGCTCTGCCTGCCGTTCCCTGCCCTGTTTGCCCCTGGGGACTGCGGGGTTGTTTTCCTGTCCCTGGTCTGTTCATGTCTCCTGATGCTAGATGAAATGAGGATTGGCAATTGCAGGCTGGAGTGAAGCAATAGTCCCGTACTATAAGTGGGCGGAGGCTGTTCTGTAAATCTCAGGCTTCACTAACTCGGGGATGACTTGCTAGCAGGTGGCAATGTTTTCTCTCTGGGAATTGTTCCAATTGTGTACCGTCATTGTTGATCCCATGGGTTTGCTAAGGGAAAATGAAAATATACAGTAGGTCTAATTTTATTTGGATGTTCCTCAGTAAATAGCAACACACCAGTGATTATCTGCAACCTTGTTTGACTGAGGCCCTTGCGGAAGCTAGATGCAGTTGGGACAAAATTACAGCAGTGCTCTGCCCAGCTCTGGGTTGCTGTTGGACACCTACCTTGTAAAGCAAATTTCATCAATAGCTGAGTAGGTTTAGTGGGAGACAACAGGGGAGCAGGGTGCCCAAGCATCTCTGGAGGTTTGAGCATCAAGGAAGTCCGTGCTGTTATCTTTCTATTGAAATATGAGCCTTACTATGTACGACAAATATTTGAGAGCTCCCAGGCTTGAGTGCTGGTCGTTGACCTCTTCAGAGCTCCCTTTTCAAACCCTGTAGATGTAGATGGTTGGCACCTTCATGCTACTGGGCAGTCATGCCAGCTAGTTGCAGTCACAGCTTATTGGCAGAGCTGTGTAATGCTGTGCTGTTAGCTCCTTACCCTCTTGTATAAACATCAGTTATACTTGTTCTTATCATTGGGTTTTATTTTTTTTAAATCCTAAAATAGATGCTTCTGTTCCAGAGTATTAGCTGACATTTCAGCTACGCTTCAGTCCCTGTTGGGGTTTTTTTAGTGCATCTACCTGACCCAATCACTCATCCTCTGGTATTCTGTTTTCTGGACTTCTTTTATCTTTTCTAGATGTTCCTAGATTGATAAAATGTAGTTGACTGCTGCATATTCTAACATAAACTGTTTCAATTACAGTGGTATTACCAAATTGGATTTGACTTGCTAGCTTTCAATACCGATTAGTATTAGAGAGGCATAATTAGCAACAGGTCCTGTTAAAGTTATTAGTCCCAATCAGTAGCATTTGCTATAAGGCTTACATCCATGTGGTTTTTAAACCATCTCATGTGAAAGTGCTGAGGAGCATGGGGAATTGTATCCCCATGCTTTTGTATTGCATAGAAGACTGGACAGGAGAAGTAATGGGTGAAAAATATTTCTTTCCTTAGGTTGCTCACATAGCTCTCTCTATATACTTTAAAGCCGTTTGAAATAAAAGGTAAAATTACCTCTGATTGATTTCATTGTCAAAAAATGATTTCATTTCAGGTGCTATCAAAATTCCTACAGTGGCCTTCTTTCGAAAGCAGTTAAATACAACAGCTTTGATCGAATTTGGGCAATATATTCAGAAAGGTACAGGACTTTAAATGCATATATTTTTAACAACAAAGTTGGGGAGTGGGAGCCATAGGTAAAGAGCTGACTAGAGGGTTTGGTTCCTCGGTGTAATGGAACAGTATGTGTCATCTTGATTTTTCTCCGGAGAAGACTGGCTTCTGTACTGGCAAAGCAAGACTTATAGAGTACCTCCACTGGCAGTAACCATGGTGTAGATCAGTGGTTCTCAACCTTTTTTGTACCAGGACCCATTTGTAAACATCAGTGGCTAGTCCTGACCCAGTGCCCCTCACTCCTGACCTGCTGCCCCCAGCCCTCCAGTGTGTGGGGCAGAGGGGGTCCCAATCAGCTACAAGCAGCCCCTTGCAGGCTAGAACTCTGGCAGTCTGCAAGGGAAAAGCCACAGCTTCCCACGCTTTTCTCTCTCAAATGAGCATCCATTTTTAAAGCTTGTTGATTCATTTTTAAAGTGTGTTTGTGACCCTTTCATATATGCTTGCAACCCGCAGGTTGAGAAACGCTGGTGTAAATAGTGCATAGAGGTCTGCCCTGATGCAACCTGACCCTGCTGTGAGAGTTAGGTGGTGGCCCTGTTCAAGCCCCGCCTGCAGTTTGTCATGGTCACCAACAGCAAATCTTCAGTGTTGACAAATAATGACTCCCATTTCTGCAAGGGCTGTCATTGCAGATTAAGACTCATTGGGATTGCTGTGACAGTGAAGCTTGCCTAGGTGGTGCCTGCAGCCTACCAAATATTGTCCATAGGATTAAAGGCGACAGCAATATTTTACTGACTTCAGTAGAAGCAGGCTTATGCTATGCAGCCAAAAATGTATGAGTACAGTG